CATATTATTGACAGGTAACTGTTCTAAAAACACCAAATGTGACTCAGAGGTGGAGTAGTTTAAATTAGCAGAGGTGAGGCCTAAAACCAAGGCAGGGAAAAACAAGCTACCAGCAATCTGATCAAGTCGCAACAGTAGAGGAGAGTATCTTCTACTGTGGAGTATGACTGGATGCAACAGAAACACACTGGGCTGTCAATCAAAGGAGCCACACCCTTAACAGAAGTGCATCACCACCTGTACAGGTGTTAAACTGTCCATAGAGTCTAATCTGTTTTTGCAGCAGGCTGGGAAATTTTAACATTGGAGTCTATGGGGAATGACTCACATTTGGAGGACAGAGTAACAGAAGTATTTTAGTGTTTGAGGCTTCATATTCCAGCCTCTGAACAACAGAATAAAGGCCCAAAATCAATTCATTTTTTTATATAGCACCAAATCACAACAACAAATCAATTCAAGGCGCTTAATATTGTAAGACCCCACGATAATACAGACAAACCTCAGCAATCATAGGACCTCCTATGAGTACAAACTTAACAATGGGAAGAAAAAACTCCCTTTTAACAGGAAGAAACCTCCAACAGAACCAGGCTCAGGGAGGGGCGGGGCCATCTGCTGCGACTGGTTGGAGGTGAGGGGGAGGGAGGCACAAAGACAAGCAGGGGTGAAGGTGGGTCAGAGCATGAAATAGAGCCCCCTGTGCAGTAAAAAAACATCAAACACATTCAGCTAACTGGAGGAAATTTAGTAATTATAAGAGTTAAATCCTCCTTCATTTGTGTGACTAATGACACGAACGCTAAATACATCAAGGTGAGCTTTAAAACAGGAAAGAAAAACTCTCTTTGCAGTTCAGTAGCTCCTGTTTCAGCCTTAATAAAAACATATTAGTTGTCCTCTATAATAAAATGAGAGGATAAACTATTTATTGTCATTTCCACTTGATTAATCCCCTAATTCTCATTCTGTGCCCTACCACCTAAATATTCAGTTTTCCACGGTCTAATGCTGCATTTTAAAAAGCTCGTACGGCTACTCGTACACTTATATTTAGCTTCCAGAGCTCAAATTAATTGGATGCACACGTACAAATGGCTATTTAAATGCTCCTGTAGAGTCGAGCACACTGTGGCTGGTTTCCAGGTAGACTGGAGTTAACCGCCCAGCTATGATATACGACCCCGAACTGCGCTGAGCAAACTCAGCCGCAGGAAGGCAGCCAATTAACATTTATCCAGAGCGCCCATTACTCACCACCATCAGCTCTGCAGAAGATTATTTTGTTCTTTCTCGGCTCGGGTGTGATAGGGTCATTTCAAAGCAACTCATCCAAGAGCTTCACAGCAACCACGGGACAGATCCACTGATAACAAGAACCTCTGGAACATGTTATCATTTGCACAATTCGTCCAAATAAAGGCTTCTTGGTTTTTAACTTACAGTAGCCTAATCAAATCAAGTATTTACTGCAGTATTTCGTCAGGGTCATTGATGTAAAATGGTTCAAATCTAAAAATAAGTGCAGAAAATTTGCTGCTGGAGAAGCTTCGAGGCAGATGAAGATGAAGCAGCTCAACTGACAGATAAGTCGGGTTAACTCGATGATGC